CACACACACACACACACACACACACACACACACACACACACACACACACACACACAAACACACACGTGTGTTCAGGGAACCCCATGGGGACCTTCCATTGACTTCCATTCATGTTTTTTAGACTTTATATCCTAACCCTGACCATATACTCTAAAATTAACCTCACAGAAACTTACCTGACCCTAAAACTAACCTAAACCTTGGTCCTAAACCTGACCCCACACCTGGAACATGACTTTGGACCCGTGGGGACCGATGTCAGGTCCCCACGATTCACTTCGGTCCCCACCTGGCTGCTTTTTTTTGTAAAAAATACCCCATGTTGTAGGAAAAACCTGTACACACACACACACACAAACACACACCTGAGCAGAACCGTGCTCATGGAGGAGGGGCTTCAGACCACTGCCTGGCTCTGAACAAAGAAAATAATCGTTTGGACCCCTGAGCACCGACCTTCATCTGAGGGAGGCAGAGCTGGATTAAAGTTCAGTGTCCTTTAGGTCCACTTCCAAGGTGGGTCACTGGGTTCTTCCTTCAGCCCCACTCACCAGAACCGTCCCCCCAGCAGAGGATGACACATGTAAGGGCAGCACCTGGTAAGTGTGTTGTTAAAACTGTCTAAAATGTTGCCCAACTTGGTAAATAACTGTTGTGTTTTTACAGTTCCAGTGTTGTTTACAGGTCTACCTGCCTCTCAGTCCAGGTTTGATTCATTCATCCCAATCCCTCCTGAGCTGTCTGAATGACATAAACATCTGTCTGAATGACATAAACATCTGTCTGAATGACATAAACATCTGTCTGAATGACGTAAACATCTGTCTGAATGACATAAACATCTGTCTGAATGACATAAACATCTGTCTGAATGACATAAACATCTGGATGAAGTTAAATGTCCTGAATCTAAAGTAAAGTAAGACAGAAGTCCTCAGCTTTGTAAAAACATTTCTCCTGACAGTCTTGGTCCTGTGGCTTCATCCAGCTGCTCTGCTGTCAGAAAGTTGGCTTTCATTTTTCATAATGTGTTTAAATCATACAAACAGATAAACTCAGTGGTTAAATTGAGTTTTTTCCAGCCAAGACTTATTGATAAGGTGAAGCCATACCTCCCAAACAAAGACCATGAGAAAGTGATTCATGCTGTCATTACATCTGGTTTGGATTATTGTAATTCTTTGTTTGTTTAGATAAATCTTCTCTGCATCAGGTACAAGTTGTCCAGAAGGCAGCAGCTCGTCTTTTAACAGGAACTAAAAAATACGAACACATATCCCTGCTTCTGGCTTCTCTCCATTGGCTTCCTGTTCGTTTTAGGATCAATTTTAAGATTTTATTTCTTATTTTTAAAGCTTTAAAAGGTCTGACCCCATCCTACCTGTGTGATCTCATTAACATCCACACTTCAGTCCAACCAGTTCCTCTTAGATGGTCCTGGATCCAGACTAAAGTTCTGAGGTGATCGGACCCAAACATCTGGAATGATTTAACTCTTAGCGTTCAGACTGCAGAGACTGCAGAGACTTTTAAATCTAAAAATCACACTTTTACTCCCTGACCTTTCATTCTGGTAGAGTTTGAGATCCTTTTAAAGATGTTTTTAATGTTTTTTTCTCTTTTACATTGATCTTATTGTTTACATTTCTGTGTTACTCTGTTCTTTTATTCATTTGGCTGAACTGTGAAGAACTTTTGTCAACTTTTGTTGTTTTATGTGCTGTATAAAGAAATTGGCGTTGACATTATTGTATAATGTAGTTCTACTGTCACACCAATAGATGGCAGTAGTGCCACACACAAGTGTTGACCAAGGAGATGTTCTTGATAAGAATAAATGAAGTGTGTGGAAAAAAGCTAACTTGATTTCTTTTCTACATCAGGTCGTCCTGCAGTGGTGTAACACACACCCACTGGTTCTGGTGTCGACTGATCTTTGGTTGTGGTCAAAATATCTTCCAGCAGAGTTCTGTGGAGAAAACAACCTCCACAGGAGACAGGTCCATGCACTGATACAGCCTCTCTGGCATCGATGAAGTACAGAGTACCTGTCAGTATGAAGTAGAGGAGCCCCAGGCCAGACATAACCACGGCACATAGTTGTCCAGAGTTAGTTCAGCTGCTACAAGCTTAATAAAAATAATGTTACGATTGTTAGAAATGGTGTTTGTAAAACTGATTTGGAACTAATAACACATGGTTCTGGGCTTGTTTGATGCCAAATAAAGTGGTGTAGATGTATATTTACTGATGTCAGGAAAGGAATGTGATACATATTGTTGTTTTGTTTGTTGATCAGAAGATCTTATTAAAAAAGTTTTTACTGTTTGTACAGCAGAAAACTGCCTGAACACCATAAAACTCATCCAGTGAGAGTTCATGCTTATTGTTGGGAATCTTTCTGTTTTACAATTTACTGATGAGCTAAAGTTTTTTCTTCTTCCATGGGAGGACATGTCAAAGGTGGGACCTCTGTTCTTCTCTGTTCTGGATAAATATATATCTGGACTCTGATCACTGGATTCTACAGATTGGTTTGGTGGTCTCCTGGTGTTCTAAAGAACAACGGTGGCTGTTCATCTCCTGGCTGACTGACCAACTGGATGGACGGCTGTTTTCTATCAGAACTCTGACATTTTGCCTTGAGCGAGCTGGACTCGGTCTGCAAGCGGTTCTATTGAGGGTCAAGGGCCGGCTGTGGTTCCTGGACTTTGCTGGCCAGATGGAATTCATCTTGGAGGAATCTGATAGATTCGGCTCGGCGGAATTTGTCCACATTTGTCTGATTGGATTCACCACCTTGAGACGCACCAGCAGAACACTAAAGCAGAAGGAAAATTGTTATCGTCTGCCTGTTCCTTCTGTTCCCAAAACAACTGATTACAGAATCTGGATCTCCCCGACAACGGCCTTGATCTGTTGACTAAATTCTTCCTGACTGGATCTTGTTGACAAGGCTCTGCCCCCTCCCTCCCTCCCTCCCTCCCCCCTCCTCTCTCACTTGTCTAATCAGGTTTCCTGAGCAGGCTGAGGACCACACAGAATGAACAGTTACCATCATTATTCTGAACTATGGCTGCACTGGTTCTGGGGACTGGATTCTTCGGGCCCCCCTAATCTCACTTACTCCTCTGGCTAATAAATCTGCCCTATGCAGAGCTTTTTTCATAAACACCACAGTGTGTCACAGTGCTGATATATGTTTTTGCTTTTTTCCTCTTCTTCCCTTGTGTGGTTTTTAGTTGTTCTGTTGTTACATTAGTGCAACCTTTGTTCTGCTTGACCGGTCTTAACTGCCCCCTCCCCCCTTCCCTGAATGTACAGCACCTTGTGAATTTATTTCTGTGAAAGGCGCTTTATAAATAAAACTTTACTTACCTAAAAGATCTATAAATAAAATCAACTCAAATGTTTTAGATTTTACAATTATTTTTATTTCTGCCTCTAAGCCTCCAGAACAAAAAACTATTTGTTGTCACCACAATGAACCGCACAGGAAGTGACACTACACACAGCACAGATCAGACATTCAGGCCGCTGAAAAGCCTAATCAAAAAACAAATGTTCACAGGAATGACTTTGTGCTCCAAATAAATAAAAAATAAAGTCTAAAAGCAAAATGTGGCTTGTATGGCTTCTTCTGCAGGTCAAAGTTTATTTACAACAAACAAAGAGCTTAAAGAGACAGAGCAAGGAGCCCACAGTACACAAGAAACAGACCTGAACCACAGCAGGCCACAGCTACAAGCTTCTGTATATCTGGGACCTCACTTCAGTGACCGAGGCTGAGCTCTGCTTCTGGACAATTCATGGTCTTCTTTTGGAGAGAAACACATCATCTTTTATCACCTGAACAGTTCTTGTTTTGTAGAAGTGATCCAGTAAGAAAACAATAACATAAAAAACAAATATCAGCTCCTCTCTACTGCCCCCTGGAGGCCGGTTCCAGTTTTAAACCTGATTCAGCTCTGCAGAACCCCACAGGGACAACATTAAAGTGCTAAGGAGGTTTTATCGCCTACAATAAATTAGAATTTAAACTGTATGTATCAGACAGCAGGTTTTTGTGTGTCTGCAGCGAGTCCAACACAACAGTTCTGGTCTGTGACAGCGATGTGTTCAGCTGTGTGTTGTCCTTTATCTCCACCTGACTGCAACTTATTAACAAGTCAGAGTCTCCACTGGAACTCATTTCCATATGTGTCAAAGCGTTTGGACCATTCTTTTGGATTTTAGTATTTTATTTTTGGATTAAGTTAAACTTGCAGCCGTACCACCCTGAACACCACATTTGATCTGTGACTGGAAGCTCAGCAGGCTCAGGGCTGATTAGTTATTGGATGGGAGACAGCCTGGGAACGTCAGATGATGAAAAAACTCAACGTTGAAGTTGTGATCAGGAGTAAAACAACTTTTGACCATCATAGGTCACTTTATAGAAGGACACCAAGTCAAGTTAAATAAATCTGACCTAATAACTGGCCTCTTTTCAAATCAACAACCAAAGATTTAAATCAAGTTTAAAGCAGAAACAAACAAAAACTGATCAACAATATGATTACTTGAATATTTCAGTTTGTCTTTGAGTCTGTGAAATGCAGGAAGTTTGATTAGAAAAGGTTGTGTAGTTAAATTAAGTGTCAAACATTGTGTGCTGCAGCACTCAGAGGCCGCCTAAAGGCAGGAGGAGGAACTGCACGCGTTTAAAACCAGGAGCTTCAAAATACTGACGGATATAATAAAGCTTCTTATTATCAGGATATATTTTATATATTCTGAACACACACAGGTCATGTGACCTGGACCAGCTCCTGTGACTGTTTGAGGAAAAAAAATCAGCTGAAGACAAAATGAATGAGCAGAAATTCACCAGTGACAATAAAAAGCACAATCATCAGCTGAGCGTCGCTTCTTGAGTTTATAATCAATATTGACTTCAAAATTTAAAAGATTTAAATTTAAATTTTCCCTGAATTTTGGAGCCTATATGTGACCCGTCACATCGAAACCAGGATTAAGTCCAAAAGTGGTTTATGGAGAAAAAGGCAAATAAAGTGTTTTGACTAAAACGTTTGCAAAAATTACATTTTGTCAAAATACAATGAATAAATGTCTTATCAATGTATCATTTGAACAAACTGTCTGAAATATAATCATAAAACTAAATTTTGAAGCATTTTTTTGAGCAGTAGCAACAAAAAAACTGATTTTGAGGAAAAACGTCTTAAAATGTTGAGATTTTCCCTGTGAGTTAGTAAAGTTTTGTTTCTTTTTATCTGGTAAATCTCAATAATCAAATATAATCTGAGGTTTCCTCTTTATAAGGACATCAAATATTCCTCAATAAAATGACATMAAATTAGGATTCAGACCAAATATTTATGTATTATTGTAACCAACAAGACAAATTAAGTCATATATATGGATTTAATKATGATATCAGAATGATCCAGGTATCAAAATGTAGCTTTTAAAGACAAGAATCTGAAAATGTAATTAGGTCATTTTGACCAAATTTGACTTAATCCACATTTTGATATGATGGCTCACATATTTCAGAAAAAAGTTAGATTTTCAACCACAAACTCATAAAAACTAAACAAACAAACAAAAACAACTGTTTGATTGTTCTTGTTGGAACATACAACAGAAACCTTCAATCAGTAACTTGTTAATAAAGTTACTAATAAAGGTTGGTGTTAAGAGGAAAACCAGTCCCTGAGGTGGATGACTCAGAACCAGATCTGCACCATTAGACTCCAGTTGACCAAACATCCAGGTGTTTTACAGTTGTTTGTTACATCAGTTTGATCTGATTGTTGTCACTCATGCTGATGTGTTTCCTGTTGGTCACTGATGAGCCCTCACACTTCCTGTTAGTTTCCAGCACAAACATGAATAAATAAATGAGAAACACATGGAGTGAAGTCAGACAGGAGGTATTGTGTTACTGTGTGGCTTCAGGGCTTTTATTTTGTGTGTTTTATGCTCATGAGGAGGTCTTCACTCCCCTGGGGACCAGCAGAGCAGTCTGAGGGAACGAAAATGAAAACCATTATTTGTTTGTGACCCAGCATTCCATTAAAGTCCAGCATTTCACAATAATGCACCCCTGAACTAACAAAAATCCTGACAGGAAATAAAACTTTTATTGTGAAGGCCAGCAGCTGAGACTACTTCCTGCAGATGTTGAAGGTCTCAGCTCAGGTGAAAGTGCCTCATCCATTCACAGGTAAGTTAGTGGTCATTTGAACTTCACTCAGTCTGTTTGCTCCTCTGCTTCTGAAGCTCCGCCCTCTGGTTGTTCTCACCATCACTTTGTTTCCTGACTGCGTCTTTGACGCCGCTCTCACTCTTGGACATTAAGGATGAAAATGATGTGACCTTTAGGCTCTTGGACGTCTTGGTCCCGCGAGTCTTCTCTTTGCTGGCAGCGTCCTGAGGCAGAGAAGGACTGGAGTGTGCCCTCTGCAGACCTCCGTCTTTGAAGAGCCGAGACTCAAAGGCCGACAGGTCCTCGTCTCCGCTCGCCACCTTGGCTCGCAGCAACATGGCGTACGTACCGTAACGTGTTTTCTGCAGAGAAATAAACAAGAGGTGGTCAACAACACACAAAAAACCCTCAGTCTGAAAGAACAACTAAAACTGTCCTGCAGAAATGTTAAAGGTTTCCGATGCAGGCAGTGACTGATATTTAAAGGAGAACTAATATACAAAATTCACTTTATCAAGATTTTTTGTTCTGCTTTTAGAAACAGTCCAGACACACAAAAAATGCACCCAGAGGTATTTTTACTATAATTAAATGTATTTCTTTGTGTCTTGAAACGAATAGTTTCAAAGAACAACGGTTTGTGATGTCACAAACCGTACTCCAACCCACCCCAACCTGAGTCCAGCCCCTCACCTTGCAACCCAAGGTGAAGCTCCGCCCACTTCTTCACAGGACAAAAGTTTGTTCGGCTGTTTTTACAACAGTCATGGAGAAAAGAGACACCTCATTGTATTTTTGATGGCAATTGGCCAATAATTGGCAACAATTTTGCCAAAGAACGTTGTAAGTTTGTGCAAATATTTTCACAGACTACTTTAAAAACTACTACCAGAGTTTACCCAAGAACTTTCTATTGAAAGGAAACGACTGTCCTTATTGTTCCTTACAAATCTGCAGATGATGGTGAAGTGATGTCTTGTGTTTAATACAACCCCTGGTAAAAAGTATGGAATCAGCAGTCTTGGATGAGCTCTCATTCAGACATTTCATTGTGTAAAACAAACTCAGATCAAAAACATGATACAATAATAAGGTCTTTCCAAAGGTCAACTTGTTGTGTTTCAGGAACACTCAAAGAAATGAAGAGAAAACATTGTGCAAGTCAGTGAATGTTACTTTTATTGACCAAGCACTGGGAAAAAAATATGAAATCACTCAATTCTGAGGAAAAAAAGTATGGAATTACTCAAATTGGAGGTAGAAAATAAGGACACACTCAGTCAGTTTCCTTTCCCTAAATGGACACCTGCCTCAGATTAGATCTGCTGGTTAGTCTGCAGTTAAAACCACCTGCAGTCATGACACCTTGGAGGGCTGCTGGACCAAGTGGAGTGGCAAGAACCATGGCTCCAACAAGAGAAATGTCTCTTGAAACAAAAGAGAGGATTGTGAAACTTCTTGAAGAAGGTAACACTTCACACATGGTTGTTAAAGATGTGGACTGTTCTCAGTCAGCTGTATCCAAGATATGGACCAAATACAAACAGCTCAATGGTTGTTAAAGCCAAGTGTACTGGTAGACCAAGAAAGACATCAAAGAGTCAAGACAAACAACTTAAGACCATTTGTCTTGAAAACTGAAAAAGTACAACTAAACAGATGAAGCATAAATGGGAGGAAGCTGGAGCCAATGTATGTGACCGAACCGTAAGAAATGACCTAAAGGAAATGGGATTTCAATCCAGAAAAGCTAAAAGAAAACCATCATTGACACCTAAACAAAAAGAACAAGACTGCAATGGGCTAAGGAGAGGCAATCATGGACTGTGGATGACTGGATGAAAGTTATCTTCAGTGATGAGTCAAGAATCTGCATTGGACAAGGTGATGATGCTGGAACTTTAGTTTGGTGCCGTTCCAGTGAGATTTATGAAGAGGGCTGCCTGAAGAAAACAACCACATTTCCACAGTCCTTGATGAAGGGATATGCTGTTTGTCGATGTTATGGACAACACTAACTCATAAATACCTCGTAATTATTAGCATAACAA